CGGACCACTGCTGATGGGGCCACACATGCCGGCGTGTGGTCATCGGAGGCCCATGAGGGCTCGACATAGGCCCTTCATGGGTCGGTATAGGCCCGGTGGGTCCAGTGCAAGCCTATCAGGGGCCGGTGCTGACCCAACAGGGCCCAGTGACATATAATGTAAGGCCGTCTAGGGACGTTGAGGGCTCATGGGGGCCATATAGGACCAATAGGGACCACATAAGCCAATCAGGGGCCATTTAGGCCAATAAAGGCACTTCAAGGGACTTGAAAAGGTCATTCAAGAGCTGTGGTGGGCCCATGAGAGGACGGCACTGGTCCAGCAGGTGCAGTCAGGGGATGTTGTACGGGTTTCTCAGTGGCCCATTTGGGCATATCAGTGACCAATTTAGACCCAGCAGTGGGCTTTGTAGACCTATCAGGGGCTGGTGATGGTTCATCAGGGGCCAGCGTTAGTCCATCGGGGCACGGCATATGCCCATCAGAGGTAATTGCGAGCCCACGCTGAACAATGCTGGCCCTTCAACGGCCCCATGGATCTACATTGACCCATGGGCCATGATGTGTCATGTATGCCCCTATGACAGGCCTACTCAGACCCCTGATGGACGTTCCCGGCCTCTGATGACCCTATGCTGAATGCTGATGGGGCTCTAAGAGTCTCCAATAACCCTTCGTCACCCCATTATTACCATACGCTGGCATTAGGGACCCCACATCAGCCGCAGGGCAGTCCGTACCATGACAGCATGTCTTTTCGGCCGATATTTCATCGGTAATATTTATCAAAATCATGATTTTATGGTGCCATTATATAGGTAACAGTCATAAGAAATATATTTCAACTCGAAAACAGCTCGAAACAGCATATAATTTTAAAGAAACCCCTCCGAAATCCAAAAGCCTATTCGGGTCCATAGAGAATAACTGCGGTCCCCCGCAATTTCGTCACGAGCGTCGGACCAATCAGCGTCGAGTACCGCCGAGCGCTGATTGGTGAATTTTCCGATGCGATGCGATGCGATGCGATGGTTTTCGGAGGTTTAGCCTTTGTATCGGCACCTCCTTGATTTCTTAATCTTTAACTTTTACTTTGATCGATGGGTTGCATTGTTATGGTTGGTTTGTGTGGCTAGGATTCTCACTAGGGGACAGGATTGGGTGTTGGGAGGATGAAGGTCAACTAGGATGGAGAACTTTGTTTTATTTCCAGCAGTCTTCTTTTCTTCCACAGCTTAAGCAATACTTCTTTCTTTTCTTCGATATCTTCCTCCTCAAACAGAAATATCCCTAAAATATCCTTTGCATAGGGTTTCTGAAGATGCATTGATTCTTTTCTTTCTTCTTCGTAGGCTGGGCAATTCAATATAAAGTGGGCGAGGTCTTCATTTTCTGCATTGCACATCATACATCTTGTGTCCTCTTTCTTGTATCTCTTGCGCTCATTTAGAGGAAGACAGTTAGCTCTTGCCTGGAAAAATATTGTTGATGCTTGCTGGTTGTCAATAAACGTTACTTCCTTCATCTCCTTTTTCCAGACAATATACAGGGACAGAGTAGTTTTAGTTAACAATTCCTCCTTCCATTTCTTTCCATCCCATTTTTGCATGTGTGTTTTAAGGTCTTGTTTGCTTATCTGATACAAATCCTTTACTTTGAGTCCGACTTCCTTAATAATGGAATAGGTTACCTTTATCCATTTGTTCTTGCCCTCGTCCATCATTTCTGTTAACACCTCTTTGAGTAGTTGATTTTTTCCTTGCAATATGCTTCTCATGTACTGAAGTCTTCCAGTTTTAATCCTTGTTGTCATCAGAGATGCTCCAATTTCTCCTCTCAATGCAGCATTTGGTGCATATTTTGGAGCCCCCAAGATCTGTCTGTAGACACCATTTTCGATTACTTGCAGCTTCTTGGTCTCTTCCTCTGTGACTGTCATGACACTGGAGCCGTACAGTATTGATGGCAGTGCTAGGGATTTCCAGTAGGTCTTACCAATCAGCAGTCTGTTGCATGATTTTGAAATTACTGAATAGGTCATGTTTGCCATTCTTTGTGCCTTTTCAATCATGATTCTTTTCTGCCCTCTGAACACATCCCTTGTATTTGTTACTTTCAGACCTAAGTATTTTATGTTTTCTTTTACTTCAATATCTTCTATGCTTCTGTGCTGTTCTTTCAGATTAAATGTGATAATGTTGCTCTTATTCTTGTTTATGTCTAGTCCACACTCCTTGCTAATTGCTGTCAGTCTTCTGATGCTAGTCTCTGTTTCTTCAATAGAATGGTTCAGTAGGAGCCCGTCGTCAGCAAAGAATAGGATTGGCAGCGTAAATTTGCAGCTTCTGAACCCTGCTTCTGTTGCCTCCATTACTTTTGTGATGATATAAGTCATGAGCTTGAAGAAGGCAGTTGATCCTGTACACCCTTGCCGTATACCACTTGTTACTAAAATCTCTAACTTAATGTTCTCATTTAGTTCAATCCAGGTTCTGTCTCCTTGGTATGTGGCTGCCACAGCATCAATCATTTTGGGGTGAATCTTGTATTTCATGAGCACCTCTACCATCCTAGCTCTATCGATGGAATCAAACGCCTTGCTGTAATCAATTGAAGTAACAATCAGAGGTGCCTTCATTTTAAAGCTTTCTTCCACACAGTACTGTAATAGGAAAAGGTTGTCCTCTATCCTTCCTCCTCTCGTAAACCCTGCTTGTGTCTCTAACTTTTGCTCTGCGCTTTCTAGATGATCTTCTAGTCGCTGTTTTAGAATTGACATGTAGATCTTATATGACACATTCGTTAAAGCAATTGGTCTCAAGTCTTTGGCAGTTGGCTTAGACGTCTTTGGTATCATTTTCGTCCTTGATATCTTCCATTCTGATGGCGTGTCACTTCTCTCGAGGACTTCTTGGTAGCAGCCTGTCAGTATCTTCAAGCATTTGTCATTTTTTATCAAAGCTTTGTATAGTTCTGGCTTGAGTTCATCTGGTCCTGCCGCTGACTTGTTCTTAAGCCTGCCTATACATTTGGTGACTTCTTCCTCAGTTATTTGTATATCTTCCATCTTCTTCATCCTCTTCCTACTGTTCATGGCCATATCCATATGTTCTCTCAGTGTGATTGGGAAACTATATCCTTTTATTTGTATCTGGTCCTGGTTCTCTTTCTCCAGATCTGCAGTATAGGTTAGCTTCGCCCTATCGTTCCACACTTCTTCTAACTTGTTTTCATGTCTTTGATAGATTTTCTTCCAGACACTTGCTAAGTTTTCCTTTTCTTCTTCTCCTTGCAGCATTTGTCCAGCTTCTGTGAATAGGCGAACTGGACTGTTATCCTTTTGCTTTCCTTTAAGTTTGTTGATATTCTCCCAAAGTGCCTTGCTTTTGTAGCTACTATAACGTATTTCGTCAGTCACTTTCTTTTCATGCTTTGCTATTTCTTCCTTGATGAGTAGCTTTGTCAGTCGTTTCTGCTCATAATATTTTTCATATAATCTGCTCTTTTCTTCTTCTGACTTTGCATTTCTCCTGAGTCTGTTGAAGGCTTTCCTTTGCTTGATTTGTTTCCGTATTTCTTCGGTCATCCATGGTTTTTCTTTGATTTTTTCATTCTTTCTGTCAGTTTTTCTTCTGTACCTTCTTGTAAGCAATTTCTCTGCCACGTCCTTCATTATCACATTGAGATCTTCCATTAGGCATATGTTATCAGCTTCTATTCTCTGTAGTACCTCTTGCACGAAGCCCGACAATGATTCTTGGTCTGTCTTAAAGAAGTATTCATCTTTCCATTTAGCTTTATTGAGACTCAGTGACTTTTCATCTTTGAAAAACACTGTGATCATGTTGTGATCTGATAGATCTAGTAGTTCTTGACTTTCATCAATTTTCATCTTAAGGATAGACTGATGCATCTTACTGTTGACCAGCACATAGTCAATAACACTTCTGTATTCTTGACTTCCCCATGTATACAAGCCTTCACATATGTCATCACCATTCAGTAAAATCATATTGTTTTTGTTTATCACATCAATGACAAATTTTCCGTTCCTATTCTCTTTTTGGCTTCCTAGGAACCCTACATGTCCATTAAAATCCCCCAACAACATTGTTGCCATGTCTGGACTTTCTTCTAGCTTCTCTTCAAGCTCTTGTTTGATTTTCTCATTTCGTGTTTTGTCTTCTGGTTTTGTTTCAACTGACATGTAAACAAGTATTATCCTAACCTGTTTGTTCAATATACTTCCCCTCACTTCCAAAACATCTTCGTTCTCTGAAGGGGCTTTACTTAAAAGGGACCCTCCCACCTTCAAAAAAGTTAACGAATTGGCATGAAAGTGATGTCGCTCGGTTCAGAAGGAGCGAAAACGAATATCTACCAAATTTTATCGAAAAATATTCACCGGTTTTCAAGATATTAGACTTTTACTTTTGTTTACTTTTTGGGACCTCCGCTGTTCCTAGCGACTTTATTTGAAAGTGCGGCATTTGTTGCGCGCAAAGCAGCATATACCACCGCGTGCTACAAAACGTTTTAGTCAAACATTTAACGGACGTTCGAAAGCCTGATGACGTCATCAGATTCCCGTAATGGTTAAGAGATAGGGACCACGCTGGTCCCACCCTGCAAGTAAAGGGAAGAAATTCCTTGAACACCATAAAGCTGCGGGGGTTGCGACCAGGATAAATGGTGGTTTCTGAGCCTGGCCGCAAACTTGGCTATCTCAACTCAAAACTAATGTTAAGGTGGGAGGGTCCCTTTAAAGTGACACCACTGTTTTGTTTATACAAAAACATGAGCCCTCCTCCTTTCTTGTCCTTTTGTTTTCTCATGCTCTCTATCTTGATCAAGTTCTTGTCAATCTCAAGTTTATCATATCTTGATTATTTATTTTATTTCCGCTAGCGTGTAAGTACTGCTCACGGAACAAGAGTTCGTCGACAATCCTCCACAAACGTCTGTCACCATTTTTCATAATGCTTAACAGCCGGAGCGTACCCCCCTGGTGCCTACTGAGTGTCACTGTAGGCTCAGGAAGCCTGGGATGTATACAAAAAAAATGTTCGTCCTTATTGATGCAATCTTGTAACCAGACGTTTCGGACAACAAGGAGCCTTCGTCAGTGGAAAATAAAATAAAGGCTTTACATTTATCGATGTATAGCCTATATCTTATTTTCCACTGAGGAAGGTAGGTCGGCGTTGCCCCGGACTGCGGGAAAGCCGAAAATGGGATAAATGATCTACGAGGAATGCCGACATTGATGTTTTGCCAATTTATCTCAAACTTTATCCAAAATTCATCAAAGCTGACACGCGTTTTAAGAGCTTTAGGACGCTTGGTGCACACTGGAAGTTATAATTGTGTGATATAATAAGAAAATGCCAGGTAAATCATTCCTTATAGGTAACAGGCCGTTGTGCCGGCTGAAAGTGTAATTTGTTTGACTAAAAATACCTACGCGTTGCTATTCTACAGCAGTGAAGTCCACGTAGCGTGCTTTAACGTGCGTAATTGCACGTTTTCGGCATTACCCCAGCCAGCCATACTTTCATTTGCAGGCCCATAACTTCTAAACGTGCTGTATAAATTTCAAATAGGCAGCACACTTATGCAAAGACATGCTGAAGATTACTTGACCGAATTGGCCAGACAAACGGTAGCATAATGAGTAAGAAATGCAGCTTCAAAGGCGCATGTAGTACAAGGGAAACGTACCTTGAAAACGCTTTTGGCGCCCTCACAGCCGAAGTATTCCAAATGACGACTCGTAACAAACATGCGATAATTGTAGTCACTTAAGCTTAAGAGCATCACTGAGACGTGGCATCTATGTCGTACGGTTTTAGAAATACATCGAATTTCGGCTTTGCCCCAACTCCGGCATTGCCCCAACTTCCCCTACTTTGTTGTCCGGAACGTTTGGTTTTATTTAGGTACATTGTTGTTGTATTGTCATTGTAGTTATGTGAGAAAAACAAAAATTTCAGCTCTTCTAAAGAGGTACAATGAGTACAAAATGTACCTATACCTTGCAATTTTGTTATCGGTGACCTAAAGGCACGTCAATTTTACAACCTCTCCATTATAAGTCAATGGGAGGAAATCGAAAGGCACCTCTTTTGGACGAACATCATTCTAAGCACTCTACACACGGAATTACACTTAAATATGACACACTGAACCGGAAAATGGCACCCGTGACCCCTCGTTATGCTCGTGAGGTCATCGCAGGTCACGCATGGTATATAACAGTTTTTTTTTTGCTAATGAGCTTTGGTAGAGGCATGCTAGCAGGAGGCCCCTGTGCCCACACAGCAGGCCCCTATACCCGCACAGAACGCCCCTATCCCTATGCCCGCACAGGAGAACCCTGTGCCCATACAGGAGGACCCCTGTGCCCGAACAGGAGGCCTTTGTGCCCGCAACGGAGGCCCCTGTGCCCAAATAGGAGGCCCGTGTGTCAAAACACGAGGGTTTAGGCGAAGAGGAGGCCCTCTTATGAAGAGACCCCCTACTTCGGCTTGTCACCCAGGTGGCAAAAAATCCGTGACGCCGCCCCTGATGCAATGCCGGAGTTACTGAACAGTGGACAGTGCCTAAATGCCATGCCGCGCCCCGAAATCGAATCGATCTGACGAATGACGTGCGATTCGTTCGATATGTATACCTGATTCTGGTGCACTTTTACCTGCACTACGACGAAATAGGCTGCACTATGACGAACATCGTGCCGCGATTCAATATAGGTATGACTGCACTATGCCGCGCTGTCGAACTCGCCTGAATTATCACCGAAATGTGTGCACCACCGCCTAAATTGGGCGCTAAAAAAGGTCTATATTTTCCGTCCATCGCGATGGTGATTCCGGATCAGTCTGACCTTTGGGCCACGGCACTGCGGCGGTCGGCCAGCTGAGCAGAGCTGTCACTGCGCTGAGCTGTCACCCTCTGACCTCTGTCAACTGAGCTGTCACCCTCTGACCTCTGTCCACTGAGCTGTCACCGCCACTGAGCCGGTGACGGGCCGGGCTGTCACCGGTGAGGGGCCGGGCTGACACCGGTGGCAGGCCGGGCTGACACCGATGAGGGGCCCGGCTGTCACCGGTGAGGGGCCCGGCTGTCACCGGTGACGGGCCCGGCTGACACCGGTGACGGGCCGGGCTGTCACCGGTGAGGGGCCGGGCTGTCACCGGTGAGGGGCCCCGCTGTCACCGGTGACGGGCCCGGCTGTCACCGGTGAGGGGCCGGGCTGTCACCGGTGACGGGCCCGGCTGTCACCGGTGACGGGCCCGGCTGTCACCGGACCGCGGGCACACCAGCGCGCCGGCGGCCTCAGCCTGCACACGCGAGCCGCGTCTGGCTGCAGGTACCAGCTCTGTCGGCAATGGCAGCGTCCAGGGCGACGGCGGCAGCGCTGCTGGTGCTGCTGGTCACAGCGGCGCCGGCCCTTCTGACCGGCCCACCGGACCGTGAGTACGCTGCCGACACAGAACCACGCCCTCTGCTGAGTGCTGACCGGCCGAGACGGCGGCGCAGAGGCTCCAGCGCAGGTCGCGGCGATCCGTAACCCCGGTAATCTAACTTCCGTAATGCAGCGTAATGTAGGTATAAAGGTGTGCATTTTGGGGTTGGACGCCCGACCCTGAGGCCGTGGTGCACGTGGGCCCTTGGACGTGGGTAATACATATTCAGCATGTTCAGCATTCACTGCAGTAACGTTAACTATAAACGGACTATCCAGGAGACAGATTCATGATTATAGCCGTTCAGCGTATGTACCCAGGATTACTGATTACTGATTATGCAGTGGCCCAGATGAGCTATCCGAATCTAGCAGCGCTGGCTGGGCGGCGAGGGGCCGTCGGTGGTCGCTGACGGTCGCTGACGACACCGACGACCGCTGACGGTCGCTGACGACCGCTGACGGTCGCTGACAGTCGCTGACGGTCGCTCGGTTTGGGTGCGGCAGCTCCGCCGGATCCGACTTCTGCCGAGGGGTGCCGGGCGGCGGGCGCCCTGTGCCTGGCCCGGCCCGGCCCCGGACAGCCGGCCTGCCCGCGCTGGCAGCGGCCCTTCGCCGGCATCTGCGGGCCCGCGGCCGACTGCTGCTTTATCGGTATGTGGGTGGCACGAACCGCTGCTGCTCCATTGGTGGCCGGTCTGTCGGCTTCCTGAGGGTCTGTGTCGGGTCTGTGTTGGGTGTGTTGGGTCTGTGTCGGGTGTGTTGGGTCTGTGTCGGGTGTGTTGGGTCTGTGTGGGGTCTGTGTCGGGTCTATCAGGTCTGCTGGCTCTGTGTCGGGTCTGTGGGGTCTGCGTCGGGTCTGTCGGCTCTCTGTCGGTCTGTGTCGGGTCCGTCAGGTCTGCTGGCTCTGTGTCGGGTTTGTGAAGTCTGTGTCGGTCTGTGTCAGGTCTGTCGGATCTGTATCGGGTCTGTATGGGGTCTGTGTCTGCTCCCAGTCGCGCCTGTGTCTGCTCTGACCCGTATTCCGCTGGTCTGCGACTGCGCCCTCAGAGTATTGGAACCACGCGCTGGTCTGCGGCCTGTTTGGCGGGGACTGCGCGCCCGTGGCCAGCTGCGGGGGCGCGCCTCGGCATCGGAACGCCTTCTGCGCGCGGCCCGGTGACACCTGCTGCATCTGGCTCTACTAGCCCGGTGACACGTGCTGTATCTGGCTCTACTAGCCCGGCGACACCTGCTGCGTCTGGCTCTACTAGCCCGGCGACACCTGCTGCGTCTGGCTCTACTAGCTGGTGACACCTGCTGCGTCTGGCTCTACTAGCTGGTGCTAGCGTGCCGCTCTATGTGACACTGCTAGCAGCCACACTGCTACACCCGGCTCTTAACGATTATTCTGTCACACTTAAAAAAACGAAGCGTTTCAGAGCTTGGACCTATATAATTGGGAAAAATAATAAATGTTGGCAATGGTGGCCCTCGCTGGTGTGATGACTAAGCACGTAAACAGGGCTACTGGTGGAAAGACATGGGGAAAATCAAAGTCATATTCAATTGATAAAAAATCACAAAAATAATTGCGCCACTTCTCGTAACAGTGCGACAACTGACAAGCAAGGTCAAACATCTCAACCAAGGGCTCCGCCACCGGGGAGGGGGGACGGGGGACATGTCCCCCCAATCAAAATGTTGAGGGGACATACTCAACATTTTTGTCCCCCCCCCCCCCTAATCGACTCTGCTGCTGGTAGATAAATCGACTCTTCTTCCTAACACCGAAAACAGAACATAGGTACCAAGATTCTCCGAAGAAAAAAAAATGATGAAAATCTTATGAACCTGTCGTCGGTAACTATATTGTCGCTGTGTTTTATTTTCTGTTATGGGGGCCACGGATTTCAGTTTTCTTTTAGAAGCCCATATCGACAGGCGTTTTCTCGTTAGGTAAATCAACGGGAGTCTTACTGATGACTGTTCGCAATCACACGCGCTGTGAGAAAATCACGGTCGCGGTGGGCGGGACCGGCGCTGCCACCTTCGGTGACCGTGCCACGATCGCGGTGGATGCGACCTGCATCACTGCCTCTGGCGGCGCAAGGCTCGCTGCAACACCACGTGCAGCGGCGGTGAGGACCGAGGCCGGAACCGTGGTGAGACCGTACCGCCCGCACGCACCGGCCAGGCGGCATGGTGTCGCAACCTACGCACTGGCCACTGACCGACCTTCGCCCGACCTCTCGGGACGTGACGATGAACCCGGAACGGAGCGCGAGGAGATGACTTTCGCCCGACCCTGGGGCCGCGGTGGCGAGACCGGCCCGGCGCGCGAGGTCACGACTTTCACGCCGCACAGCTGCGCCACGTGAAGTGCGCGCTTCTCCGACGTTTAGAACATGTAGTTTTTATATTTATGTGCTTAGCCCTGCAATGGAACAAGCTTTTTCTCCTGTAGCTCTGTATAGCCAACAAAAAAGCAGACTAACAAAGGAGCAGACCTGGAATGCGGATCGCATTATTTCTTGTGTGAAATATATTACGACGTATTACGGTAAATACGAGCGTAATGACTTATTGCAGGACCGATCCTCACGGACTGCATGATTTAGGTATTGTACTTCACAGTGTTCGATATGCCAGGTTCTAAGCTGATGTATGTATGTCGCCGTGGCGCGGCAGTGTTTTCTTCACTGCGCGTGTAGCGGGTAACATTGCGACTGTCTGCCTATTGCCTAGTAACTGTACTTTTGCTGTACTTGAATCTAATCTCATGTCTATAATAGCCTGTAATGTAATATACCTGTTCCAAGACAAAGCAAATTCTTTGTAGTTGGTAACGTTCGCGTCTCAAAGAGACGAATGCTAGTTTAGAAGTTGGGCTAAAAATAAACTTTCATACTCCTAAACAAACAACCTGCTCAGCAGACGCTTCACGCGTGAAGCCAAGCTGGCAAAGTAAAACATAAAATTCACAAATGCAAAGATAAGAGACATGAAAATGTCTCGTGATGTCAAATGTCCGAAAGTACCCCACCCGTGGGGTAAAGTCAGGCAGAGGGTGGGGCAGCTTAAGACGGTCGGGGGACCCCTCGTTATGTTACAGTTTCATTGGTTATACCTATGGCCTTGGTTTCATTCAGTCACAATGTGATTTCATTGTATTGATGCCAAAACGTCACACACGTTCAATATCAACCCTTTCACTACCATGGGAGACAAAACCTTGCTCTGGGAACTCCCCGTCCTCCTCCCCATACACACACGCCCGTATACCAGCCTAAATATTAAATGCCTACCAATCTAAAAATGCATTCATTTGTAGTAATACATTTTTAGATGCGTAGTTTACCATTTAACCATAATGTACCATCTTCATACCATTTACTATCTGATGTTAGCTTACAGATAGTCCGATGCATCCCCACGTCCAACTGCCCGAAGCATCTCATCACGCCCCGAAAACATATTAACCCGGCCGGGCCCGGGGGGTAATCCCAACCACCGCAGCCCGGGGGGGGGGGCGTTTTTCGCCCCCCCCCCTGTCTAACTCCGTAAATAAGGGAGTTACGGAAACAAAAGCGATACCAAACGAAAGGTCCTTACGAGACGATTCTAAAGCACCTAAAATTTTTGACCTCAGGTCAATTTTCAAGGTCAGAGGTCAAGGTCAAAGGCCAAAACCGGCACATGTGTAGTGATCTCAAAGTAAGCCTTCTAGAGGATGGCAGGATGCATCAAACCGGCAAAATTGGGTATCAAACGAAAGAAGAGAATCTGAGGATTCCGAATATGTGCTCAAAATCAAAGGTCAAGGTCAAGGTCACGCTCACAATTGACCTCAAACTTTGCACTTTTTCGTACATCTTGCGTGCTAACTTCCAAGACGTTTTGAAATGTTTGGAGGCTTATCAGTTCCCTATTTGTGGTTCATCTTACGATACAAGGCTGCTCAAAGGTCAAGGTCACAGAAGAGTATCCTTGCTAGAGGCTATTTCACTAATTCAAGTTAGTAATAATAAATAAGACAATTTTGCCATCCGGAAGCTCTAAATAAAGCCTTAGAGGAAAATGGATGCCAGATTCGTGATCAGCGGGTACAAATCCATCGTAACCGACCTTTCATGTGTCAAGGTCAACCAAAGGTCATTCGAGGTCACATGAGGTCAACATAAAATTTGACCTTTTCCAAACAAAATATATATCATTCGACGCGGCTTGACACGGCGAATGCGATGGTACCACTGCCGTAGCTCTAGGACCATTTTTGTTGAAGTTATTTGCGAAAAACTAAAACCACATTTCGGGGTCGTTGACCTGACCTCTGACCTCAGGTCACCAAAACTATTTTTCTATTTTTCTCTAGGTCAAACGCTACACAACCGTGCTCGTAATTTGTCTTTATCTCTAAAACTCTATTTTTAGCAGCTATTTGAAGTTCGCGTCTGTGACGCCGAAGTTTGCCTTGCAGGGGTCTAGAAAAATCGACCTTGTGACGTCATCAAGGGGGCTAGGTCAAAAAATTTTACTTCAGTAGATGTCAAATTGATGGGGAGAAAAGGTACTGAAAGTTTCGCTTCCCTATCCCTAAGCGTTCGGGAGCTATCGCAAAAATTCGCCAGGGGGGGCGAAAAACGCCCCCCCCGGGCCCGCGAGGGTTAACTTGCGACTCGTGAGCAGACGTGAAATCTCACGCACGTAACGTAACAGCCAGGTTTAATTTACATCAACCTAGCAATACCACGATTGCAAGGCAAAACAAACAGTCGTTCAAGAAAAACTCATATCTAGCGCTGCCACTTTGACATTTTGACCCCTGCGACGTCATCTTTGACCTGACCTGAAAATGACTATATAATCATTGTAGACCATGTCCGTGAGTACTCTATGCCGTTTACCGCTTGTCTCTATTGCTTCGTTCTCGAGGTCTCAGGGGGGGGGGAGGGGGGCGGTCAACCACCCCCGGTCGGTTCTATGTTGGCGCGGACCCCCGTCGGTGCGCGGGTTAAAATGCCGCCAAACTCCTGATTTGAAGCACAGCACTGTATTGAATGGCCGACCATGAAACGAGCTAATAGTCGACAACACAATCGGTAGAGGAAATCTGTGGAGCAGCTGGTGGAGCGAAATGAAGCAAATCTGCTGCTGGGTGACTGTCCGCTGACTCAGGCCACTGACAGACCGCCAACTGACAGATAGCTGACAGATAGCTGACAAACAGCTGACAGACAGCTGACAGACAGCTGAGAGACGGCTGACAGACAGCTGACACAGCTGACAGGTGACGGAAGCTGAGAGACTGTTGACAGGCGGCTGACATCTGTAACCCTGTTGACATAACAAAACACCGAAACCCTTGACGAGTTAAGGGAGAATGGTGCGAGTTGTATCACCGGTTCCAGTACGGTATAGCCGTCTGGCACTCATACATGCACGCCTTTCCATATACCTATGAAAACAAAACATTGCGCCTGTGGCCACTCAATGAAACTTCGCTGGGCTGAAACTTCCTTCAGCCGACACAAACGTAAAAAGTAGAAACTGTCCTTGGCACAAGTAAAACAATCTGTGAAATTCGCGTGCATCTCAGTGCAAAAGAATAAAAACATTTTTACGCAAAGCTTGTCCGTAAACGCAAACGGTTACGGACAAATGTTACACAATGACACTCGAAAATAGACTACCGATCGGTCTCTGCGGCCGTCTGGCGGGGCGCGCTCGGCAGACGCTCGGCCGGCCGGCCCGGGGCGGACTGGAGCAGACGCTGCTCGGACGCTGCCTAGACCGGCCCGGGGCGGACTCAGCAGACGCTGCTCGGACGCTGCCTAGACCGGGCCGGGGCGGACTCGGAGCAGACGCCGCTCGGCCGGCCCGGGGCGGACTGGAGCAGACGGCCGGTCGGACGCTGCCTAGGGCGGGCCGGGGCGGACTCCGGCAGACGCCGGTCGGACGCTGCCTAGACCGGGCCGCCAGCCGCCCCAGCTCCGCGCCCCGATATACACCCGTTCACGATGGACTGCACCCGCCCTCCTCACGGTTCGTCGGAAGGTCATCTCAGGCTCAAAAGAAACGATATATACCATTCGAAAGCTGACGGTGAGCTGAATCCAAAATTGTAATCTTTATCAAAATCGATCGATGGCTTTTTTTGAAAATTGCGGCTTTGTAAAAACTTTATAATTTTTTATTCAACGGGCTGTCCCGGACATTCTTGAAAACATAATCATGTATTTTTGAGTTCCAGTGAAAGCTAAACGCCAAAAGTACAATATTTAGCGAAGCAATATTTCCTAACATTAATATGCGTCTCCCACAGCCGACAATAAGGCGCAGTCACACTGCTCAGTGTCACGATGGACCAAAGTCGGCCACACAGAAGCGTGAAATGACCCTTATCGACTCGCAGACCCGGCGCTCTCGGCCCGCCTGACCAGCCACGGAAAGAACGTTCGGCTCTCGTTCTACTAAATGAATGTCATATTTGTCAGTTTAACTGTCCACATCGCTATTAAAGTTATTCAGGATACCTGTGAGGAAAATTCATTGTTCTGCTTGATTTACAACATGCTTTACTTTACATTTTTCTTATACATGTTTTGTTCCATTCAGCTGCGCTCAGTGCCCGCGCAGGTGAAGTGAGCGGGGTTTCACTGTCAGAGGCTGTACTGGTGACAGCTGCTCGGCCGTGCGACCGGTCAAAGGTTACCCTGCCCCGCCGGGCGCTACCCCCACTCCACCCGAGCTGAGGCCGGTGCAACCTCTGACATTTAAGCGCGGCCAATTTTCCTTATTTGGGCATGATACCAAGCTCAATTGAGCAAAGTAGACATGAACAAATGCAAATTAATGCATGATGTGAAGATGACCGAGCAATGAATCTTCTGGCTCATGTATCCTGAATAACTCAAGTACCGACTTGAATCGTTAAACTAACAAATATGACGCCCGTTTAGTAGAACGACAGCCGAACCTCCTTGCCGTGGCCGGTCAGGCGGGCCGAGAGCGCCGGGTCTGCGAGTCGATAAGGGTCATTTCACGCCTCTGTGTGGCCGACTTTGGTCCATCGTGACACTGAGCTGTGTGACTGCGCCTTATTGTCGGCTGTGGGAGACGCATATTAATGTTAGGAAATATTGCTTCGCTAAATATTGTTCTTTTGGCGTTCAGCTTTCACTGGAACTCAAAAATACATGATTATGTTTTCAAGAATGTCCGGGACAGCCCGTTTAATAAAAAATTATAAAGTTTTTACAAAAACGCGATTTTCAAAAAACGCCATCGATCGATTTTGATAAAAATTACATTTTTGGATTCAGTTCACCGTCAGCTTTCGAATGATATATATCGTTTCTTTTGAGCCTGAGATGGCCTTCCGACGAACCGTGTCCTGGTAGTGCACCGCGGCGACTACGTCCCCGACCTGGTCCGACCTTCACCATCTCCAATCGCCCGGGGCAGCGGATGCCCACCAGCGGGACCGGGTGCCGCGCCAGGGGGGCCGATGGCCGGTCCCCCGCAGCGGCCCCGGCCCGCGCTGAATGAATAGCCTGGCGCCCCCCGCCGCCGACACGGGCGGCGGGGTCACGGGCGGCCGGAGCGGGGGAGGTCGCCGCAGTAGGAGGGCTAAGAAGAATCGCCGCTACAGAAGAAACTGCCGTGTCCGAAGCCGCCTGCTCATACTGAGCTGGAACGCGGAGGGTCTCCGGAAGAAAACGCTGGAGGTTCAACGTTGGCTGTCGGACAACAAGGTAGACGTGGCGGTGATCCAGGAGGCCCAGCTGCCGGCGAAGAAAAACATCGCCCTCCCTGGTTTCCAGATCGCCTCGGTCGCCCGTCGAGTGCGAGGGCGTAGAACAGACGGCCCTGTGAAAGGAGGGGACGTTGTAATATACATCCGGGACGGACTCAGCTTCACCAGACTTGAGGACCGCCCACTCGACGCCTCCGACGACAGCACAGAGTGGTGTGGTGCCCGACTGCTCCTCCCACCTAGTCAACATTCTAGTCAACCGACCACCATCGACATCCATAACATATACAGGCCGCCCATCCGTACGGGCGAGAGCGAAGAGAGGGAGGACAGGTTCGCCCTCACTCTCAGACCCACTTCAGACTGCATTATCACCGGGGATTTCAACGCGCATCACCCGAGGTGGGACCACCAGTGTGACGACGCGGATGACGTCGGCCGCCGCCTGGCCGCCTGGTGCGAGGCCGGGGACTGGTCTGTCCTCAACTCTGGCGCTCCGACCCACGCCGACTACAGGGGGAACACCGGAGCCCCAGACGTCACCGTCTGCACGCGCGGCCTTGCGAGGAGGTGTGCGTGGTCTATCGGGGATGACCTCGGCAGTGACCACCTACCGCAACTCGTCGAGGTCGTGTGCCACGGCGGCCGGCCGCGGCGCATCCGGAAAACGAAGTGGGCCTTCCACAAGGCGGACTGGGTCGGATTCCGCGACGGCATCGAGCGGACACTCGAGACGAGCTCACCCCCGCCGGGCGCCACCACCGAGCAACTCCTGGCAGTGTTTAGCCAGACGCTGTTAGCTCACAGTGTGGAGATGATCCCGCGGGGCGCGCGAGCCGACCCAAAACCGTGGGCCCTGGACCCGGAACTTGTGCGGGCCGTGGCGGAGCGCCGGGAGGCGAGAGACGCCATGCGAACGGATCGTTCCCGGGAGGCGAGGGAACGGTGGCTGACGGCTAAGCGCCATGCCGCCATCACTGAAGACAAAGCCAAGACGCGCAGCTTCCGCGACTTTGCCACAACAACGCTGAACAAGCCGACCAGCATCGGCCTGGTGACCAAGGTGCTGCGCAAGATGGAGGGGTCGGTGCAGGCTTGCCCCGGCCACGCTCTCCAAGGGGACCATGGCCTTGCCGTGGAGGACCTTGAGAAGGCGACCTCCTTCGCGCGAACCTACTCACGGGTCAGCCGGCAAGTCCGGTCGAGGAAGTTAGACCGCAAGGTAAAACATGAACTGATTCAACGCAGCCGCCCCCCGTGCACTGCCTGCGCGGGGGAAAGAGAGGACGCCAGCTGCTGCGGACCGTTCTCCACAACAGAGATGGATATCCAGCTGCGGAAGCTGCGCAACAAGAAGGCCCCAGGACCAGACAACATCTGCGCGGAGCACCTGAAGCACCTCGGCCCCACCGCCAAGGCCCTGCTCCTGCGCCTCATCAATCAGTCCTGGCTGAGGGGGGAGGTCCCGGCAGACTGGCGAAGAGCCGTCATCGTGCCGATCCCCAAAGCCGGGAAAGACCCCAAGCTGACTTCGAGCTACCGACCGATCGCGCTAACGTCTCACCTGGCGAAGCTGGCCGAGAGGATGGTAGCCGCTCGCCTGACTCACCTGGCAGAGAGAGACGATATGGTCCCTGCGGAACAGGTCGGCTTCAGGAGGGGTCGCTCCGCAGAAGAGAATTTGGGAAGGCTGATACAGACAGTGCAGGATGGCTGGAATAAGGCCAAGCCGCGTGGAAGGCCGATCGATGGCGTCACGGCCGAGAAATTCGTCCTCATGGCCTACGATTTCAGCCGCGCCTATGACGTCATCGACCATCGTATGCTCAAGCTGAAGCTCCTGCGGCTGGGCCTACCTGCCTGTCTGGTTCGCTGGATCTGGGCATTCCTGCGCGACCGCCGGGCGTCTGTGGAGGTGAACGGCGCCCGGAGTGCTGAACGAGTCTTCAGGGCCGGTCTCCCGCAGGGCAGCGTCCTGGCCCCGACGCTGTACACCCTGTGGGCTGCCGACCTCATCTTGGAGCTGCGACGAGTGCCACACACCACGACGTACATGTACGCGGACGACACCGCAACCCTCAGCGGTGGGAGCTCTATTGCCCTGGCAAAGGAAAGGGCACAGAAGTCGGCGGACATTATCGCCGCCTGGGCGGACCGCTGGAAGATGAGGGTGGCGGGTGAAAAGACCCAGGCCATTGTTCTCTCACAATGGGCCAGGGACGCCGGTGAGCTGACCGTGAAGGTCGCTGGAGTGTCAGTGAAGGCGGGCTCCCAGCTCCGCCTCCTCGGCGTGACCTTCGACCGTCTCCTCCATTTTGGACCACACTGCACCGACCTCCGCCGCAGGGTCAGACCAAGGACCGCCCAGCTGAAGAAGCTGACCGGCCGATCGTGGGGCCTCGGCGAACAACAACTACGAACCGTCGCCAACGGCTACGTCCGCGGTGCGCTGGAGTACGCCGCGGCTGCGTGGCTGCCGGCGGCATCGCCCTCGCACGTCGAGCTGATCGATCGGGAGCTGCGCGCGGCCGCGCGGGCAGTGACCGGTTGCACGGCATCTACTCCGGTGCACGCCCTGATGTCCGAGGCCGGCATGACAGATGCCTGGTCCAGGAGACAGGCACTGGCAGCGAGAATGGTGGGACTCGCGGCGTCCCTCCCCGAGGGAGACCCGCTGAGGTCGGTCGGGGAGGCGGTCGTCCCTCGACGACTCAAGACCACAGGATGGCGCGAGGTGGGCGCCGCCGCGCTCGCGGCGGCCGACGCGCAAGACATACCCGTCGAGGCCCGCCTCCACCACACCCTGCCGCCGTGGGCCGACAACTCTACCGTCCACTTCCATCTGGACCTCGGCCCGCGGGCCAGACGTGCGGCCCCGGAAGACGTTCGGCGTGCCGCAGCTGAAGAGCGTATCCGGGAGCTACCTGAGGAAGCCGTCTGGATATGGTCGGACGGATCGGCGGAGGACGGCGTCGCCAATGGCGGGGGCGGCGCCCTGATCCGCACCCCAACCGAAGATGACTGGGAGCTGAGGGTCCCTGCTGGCCGCCTGTGCTCCAGCACGCGCGCGGAGCTCGCCGCGCTGCTGGCAGCGCTGGAGGCAGTCGCTGAACTGCCGAGAAGCGCGGGCCTGCCGGTGGTCGCCTGCCTGGACTCCAGGGCGGCCCTGCTAACGCTGGCTGCAGGCGCCTCGGCCCAGACCACAACATTGGGTGCCAGTGTGTGGACCCAACTGCTGCGCCTACAAGCAAGCAACAGCTCAATTCACCTCCAATGGGTACCGGCTCACTGCGGGCTCCCGGGTAATGAGAGGGCGGACGCATTAGCGAAGGAGGCGGCCGGGATGTCCCAGCGGACGACGCCGGTCGACGCCCGCACCCTCACGGGGGCTGCTGCGCGGGTCGCCGGCAGGGAGTGGCGAGCGAGCCGGCCTGCGGGCTGGTACCGAGACGTCATGGCGGACCGCGCCCCCGACCCGGTCCGAGCCGCTACCAGGGAGGAGGCCATCGACATACATCAACTCCGATCGGGACACTGGGGACGGTCGGAACAATATCTCCACCGCATTGGGCGCAGACCGACACCCGAGTGCGCTCAGTGCAACGACATCACATGCCCGGCGGGCCGTTGTCTCGTCTGTGGCGAGGCCGCGGACACCCCGGCGCACGTACTACTGGAGTGCCCGTGCCTGTTCGGCCCCCGCCTCCAAGCGCTGGGTAACATCACAGGCACGGCCCGAGACGTACAGCGCGACGACGTGGTGGCGGCCTTGGCCGCCGGCTACGCGGCCCACAAGAGCCGCGTGGCTCCGTCACCGCCTCGGCGGTGACCGGGAGGAACAACAACAACAACAACAACAACCTGGTCCGACCCATCCCTCTGCTCTGCAGCTATTAGGGCCGCCGCGGCCGCGGCCCACGGATCACAGCCACACACCCGCGCCCGGTACCGGCGGTCCGGACAGCGCCGAGCGCCGCGCGGGCCATGCACAGACAGACGGACAGCGGACACCGCCCACATACAGCCCAGCGGATACTGTCCACACACAGCCCAGCGGGCACTGTCCCTACACTGTCCACACACACACACAGCCCAGTGGACACTGTCCACACAGCCCAGCGGACACTGTCCAGTGTCCCCACAGCCCAGCGGGCTCAACCCCCCCCCCCCACAGCCCAGCGGACACTGTCCACACACACAGCCCAGCGGGCACTGTCCAGTGTCCCCACAGGCCAGCGGGCACTGTCCCCACAGCCCAGCGGGCACCGCCCACCGACGCGGCACACCGCGCCGCTGCTAAAACAGGGCCGGGTGACGCCGCCAGCGGGCCCGGCGGCCGGCTGGGCGCCGCTGGGCTCAGGTAACGGGGCGGACCCGGCTTCAGGTACCGGGGCGGACCCGGCTGGGTTCAGGTACCAGGGCGCACCCAGCGCCGCCGGGCTCAGGTACCGGGGCAGCACGGCGCCGCTGGGCTCAGGTACCGGGGCAGCACGGCGCCGCTGGGCTCAGGTACCGGGGCAGCACGGCGCTGCTGTGTTCAGGTACCGGTGCAGCGCGGCGCTGCCAGTGACTGTCGGCGCCGACACGCGCCGGGCGCAGCAGCCGCAGAGATTTGTGTGACTTTGAGCCACATGGCACGGGCCGCGCCGGCTCCATGTTCGCAGGCGAGCTCAGAGCCACCTGGTTCCCGGCTGCAGCGAAACAGAGCCGACTGCGGCGGCCAGCCCAGTCCGACTCAGTCCCGTTCAGTCCGTCTCAGTCCGACCCGGCCCGGCCGGTCAGTCCACCTCCTCGTAGACGCGGCGGCGCTTGGCCTCCTGGCGCTGCAGCCGCTCCGGATCCGTGTCCGAGTCGCCGTCGGCCCTGGGCCGCGTGGCGCCGCGCGCCGCGCCGGCCGGACCGGCGGGCCCGGAGGCGGCCGCCAGCCGCGCAGAGCTCTCCAGCAGCTCCTCGGAGCGCCACAGCGACGAGCTGAAACGGGCCGCCGCGTCAGGGGGGGTCGACCGAAACGGGGAGGGCAAAACACTCGGACGAACAGCTGGACGCCCACACAACACACAGGCGAACAAGAGACTAAACGGCACAGCGGCCCGGCAGATGGGCAGCACGCAATGACAGCCCGGCACTGGCCGGCCGCCGGGGGACTGTTTTGGCGGGCCGTTTTGGCGCCGGCCGCCGCCGGCCGTGCAGCGGCCTCTCACCTGGACTCGCCGGCGCAGGCCGAGTCGCCGCCGCCCTCGGCGCGCCGCCGCAGCAGCCGGCCCAGCACCGCGTCCACTGCCGAGAGCAGCGTGCGCGCGTTCGTCATGGTGAAACACATGGGCGGCGTCAGCTGGAGCACGTTGCCGGCCGGGCCGCACGTGGTGGCCAGGATCCGCTCCTCGCGCAGACTGGCGGGGTAAGCGGGGGGGGGGGAGGTCAGAGGGGGCGGGGCGGGTCAGAGGCGAGAGCAGAGGGAACATGACGGGCCACGGACTCGCAGGGTGAGCAGAGGCCGTGGGCGGCTCTGCTAATGGTGTATTTGTATTTGTATTTGTATTTGCCATCGTAGAGCGGTCCACTCAAAGTGTGGCTATTAAGCTCCGAGTCAAACATGGTCGCTGTCATGGATAAAAAAAAAACACACACACACACACACACGCACACATACACGGTACACAGGGCTACCCCTGTGCTGTGGCGGCCACGGCTGTCGGAACGGTCACGTTCGGTGGAGATCCAGCAGGCGTCTCTTCACGGTACGTGAAAAACGCTGCTGGCTAAGCGGTGTCAGGTCACTCGACAGCCGGTTGTAGAGGGCAGGTGCCCTCGAGCAAAAGCGTCTCTTGCCGGTCTCGGTGTTGGACCTCGGCACGTAGAGTTGCCCGTCCTGCCTCGTGCGCCGGGACCGCCGGTCACCGTTGCACACGAATGCAGCCGCCAGTGACTCGGGCTCGCCACCAGCAATCACCTTGTGCGCCAGACACAGTGTACGGTGGTCGGCCATGTGCTGAGCGGGCAGCCAGCCAAGTTTCCCGCGCAGGTCACTAACATGATCAAATTTTCTCTTTCCAAAAATGACTCGTGCAGCAAAGTTCAGTACCTTTTGAATTCTGTCAATGTTTTTCTTAGTGCCGTTGCCGTAGACGGAAAGGCAGTATGTGACCTGCGAGAGAACCAAGGCGGCTACTAGTGTCTTGATGACACCGACAGGCAGGACGTGACGGACATGTGACAGCGCGACAAGAGTACCGCTGCATCGCCTGCCGACGACACCCACGTGACTGTCCCATGATAATTTCTGGTCGAAAATAACGCCAAGATTTTTTACCTCGCGGCAAGGTACGAGGTCAGTGTTGCGGAAGGCAATTTTGAAGTCTGGAAGGCCGCGCAAATTTTGACCTGTTCCGAGAGTGATGAACTGTGTTTTGTTTGCGTTTACTTTAAGGGCGTTTGCGCAGAACCACTGATCCAAAGCAGTCAATGAATTTTCCATGCTATGAATAACAGCCGAAAGTTCGTTCTTTTTGCCAGAGACAATCACCTGGGTGTCGTCAGCGTACTGCACGACACCTGCACCCGCAGCGAACAGTGACATGTCATTTGCAAACACGGTAAACAAGAGGGGGCCCAGGGTTCGGCATCGGCGGGGAGACGCTGGCAGCTCCAGTGTGGTCTCTGAGTGACACACTCTGGGTATGGCCGGTCAGGTAAGCTTTAAACCACTGAACATCCACACCGTGCAGCTCGAGTTTCCGAAGTAAAATGTCATGGTCGATAATATCAAAACACTTGCTCAGGTCAATAAGACATAAGAGGGTGATCTCCCCGCCGTCGGCAGCTGTGAGGATTTGGTCGGTTACGGTAGCCAGCGCGGTTTCCGTCGAATGGCGCGGACGGAAACCGTGCTGGCTGGGGGATAGGAGGTGGTTGGAGGATAGGTAATGGTAAAGCTGCCGCTGGACAACGCGCTCTACTAGTTTGGCGATGGTGGGGATGATGGAAATAGGACGGAAGTTGGAAGGATCGGATGGGTCGCCGGTCTTGAAGATGGGGTGAATGAGCGAATGTTTCCAGGTTGGAGGGTAGTCGGATTGGGTGAGACATGCGTTAATGATATGTAGGATGACATAGCCGACGGCGGGGAAGCCAGCCTTCAGAGCACGAGCACACAAACCATCAGATCCGCACGCAGGCGAGTTCCTCATGCTGTACAGCGCGATCGTCAGCGTATCGAGGTCGATGGGAGAGACTGAGAAGCCGCAGGCCCCCACACGCGGCAGGCGGCAGGGCAGGTCTGCCGCGTGCTCGGCCGCATCGGCCACCTCCGCCGCCACCCTCGGCCCGACAGACACGAAATACTCATTCAGCGCGCTCGGTGATAGCTGTGGTGAGGTGACATCTCGCTTCCGGCCAGCAACAACACTCCGAATGTTGCGCCACACGGTGTGGGGTCCCTGCTCCCTGATACGGGACTCTATGGCCAGGCGCGTGTCGCGGCGGATGGCGGACCGGACAGATCGGTTCAGATCGCGGTATTCGCTCGAGTCACGGCCGAGGGTGCGCAGAGCGCCGCGGCGGCTCGCCATCAAGTCCTTAGTGGCGGCCGTGACCGGCGGGGCAGATGGGTTGTGAACCTTGCGGCTCCGTATCGGCGCGTGCTTGTCCAGAACAGGTATGTAGAGTGATAAAAAAGCTCGCCACTTCCCATCGACCGTCTCAGATGTAAAAACGTCACTCCAGTCACAGCACTGTAAATCGAACAGAAACGCACCCGAGTCTATCCTAGCGAGTGGGCGTGACCGCGACACTACAGTGTGCGATCGTGGACGGCGCGGCACACTGAGACTACAACTAACGATGCGATGTGGGCTAAAATCACAATGTTTATTGCGGCGCGGCGTTGCTACGTTAAGACGATTGACAATGAGAACATCTAAGAGCGATCCAGAGGTAAATGTCGGGCCAAATGGTGGCGCGTTATTATGGCAGTCTGCTACCGTAGACAGATACTGCTACCCCGGGGAGATACTGGCACTGTGTGGATATATACTGCTACCCCGGGGAGATACTGGCACTGTGTGGAGATATACCGCTACCCGGGGAGATACTGGCCTGGGTGGAGACCACTGCTACCCCGGGGAAATACTGGCACTGTGTGGAGATATACTGCTACCGCGGGGAGAAACTGGCACTGTGTGGAGATATACTGCTACCCCGGGGAGAAACTGGCACTGTGTGGAGATATACTGCTACCCCGGGGAGATGCTGGCACTGTGTGGAGATCACTGCTACATCGGAGAGATACTGGCACTGTGTGGAGATATAGGAGATACTGCCGCCGCGGGGAGATATTGTCAGAACATACACTGTCTCCACAGGAGAGAAGTTGCAGCCGGGGAAGGCAGAGGCACTGACCCGAAGCAGATTTGTCTGGCCAGCGTCGGGTCGGGCTTCCTGCTCTGGCGGCTGGAGACGATCTCCACGCCGAGACACAGGCCCGAGCCCCGCACATCGCCTGTGGTAGAGATAGTGAAAGAGATGACCGTGAGGACACGCACGTGGCCTGTGACGTAGAGAGAGAGAGAGAGAGAGAGAGAGAGAGAGAGAGAGAGAGAGAGAGAGAGAGAGAGAGAGAGAGAGAGAGAGAGAGAGAGAGAGAGAGAGAGAGAGAGAGAGAGAGAGAGAGAGAGAGAGAGAGAGAGAGAGAGAGAGAGAGAGAGAGAGAGAGAGAGAGAGAGAGAGAGAGAGAGAGAGAGAGAGAGAGAGAGAGAGAGAGAGAGAGAGAGAGAGAGAGAGAGAGAGAGAGAGAGAGAGAGAGAGAGAGAGAGAGAGAGAGAGAGAGAGAGAGAGAGAGAGAGAGAGAGAGAGAGAGAGAGAGAGAGAGAGAGAGAGAGAGAGAGAGAGAGAGAGAGAGAGAGAGAGAGAGAGAGAGAGAGAGAGAGAGAGAGAGAGAGAGAGAGAGAGAGAGAGAGAGAGAGAGAGAGAGAGAGAGAGAGAGAGAGAGAGAGAGAGAGAGAGAGAGAGAGAGAGAGAGAGAGAGAGAGAGAGAGAGAGAGAGAGAGAGAGAGAGAGAGAGAGAGAGAGAGAGAGAGAGAGAGAGAGAGAGAGAGAGAGAGAGAGAGAGAGAGAGAGAGAGAGAGAGAGAGAGAGAGAGAGAGAGAGAGAGAGAGAGAGAGAGAGAGAGAGAGAGAGAGAGAGAGAGAGAGAGAGAGAGAGAGAGAGAGAGAGAGAGAGAGAGAGAGAGAGAGAGAGAGAGAGAGAGAGAGAGAGAGAGAGAGAGAGAGAGAGAGAGAGAGAGAGAGAGAGAGAGAGAGAGAGAGAGAGAGAGAGAGAGAGAGAGAGAGAGAGAGAGAGAGAGAGAGAGAGAGAGAGAGAGAGAGAGAGAGAGAGAGAGAGAGAGAGAGAGAGAGAGAGAGAGAGAGAGAGAGACCGTGAGGAACCACGTGGTCTGTGGTAGAGGGTCAGGACTGTGATGACACGCACAACCACGTAACGCGGTCAACGCTGAAAATGCTTGACAAATCATTCAGCGTAATTGGTTAGCAGTGCTCGACGCTCATTGGCTCATCGGTCAATGATGATCAGTGACGATTTCGGTTCGTGGGCCGCAGCGTTAAAGCTTGCGTGTAGGAGCTCGGGTGGGTGAATTTCGGACAGCATTTTGATGTAAGTTATTAGGTCAGTGTGATAAATACTTGGGTCATTTATGAACACCGCGATTCATTGCACCACCGGTCGGGTTGTGTCTGTCAGCGGCCGCACCTATGCAGCCGTGGGAGCCGGCCAGCTGGGTGAGGCTGTCCTTGAGGAAGCGGCCCACGTTGGTGGCCGACGTCATCAGCTTCTCGGTGCGCATCACCTCGAGCACGGCCAGGCCGACGGCGCACGACACCGGGTTACCGCCAAACTGGGGATAACAGACGACAACGGGTTACCGCCAAACTGGGGAGTATACACATCGGGTTACCGCCTAACTGGGGGTAATACACGACACCGGGTTACCGCCAAACTGGGGGTAATACACACCGGGTTACCGCCAAACTGGGGGTAATACACACAACGGGTTATCACTGTTATGTAATGGGCCGTGTGCACACCTGTGCAGACCCCTGCCTGGGCATTGGCGGTGGCCGATATGTGAGTTGCCTGCTACTGTGTGTGTGATACCTGGGTCGGTCCCTGCCCAGGTCAGGGACTGCCTGAGGGGACGACCCTCCTGTCGTCCCCACCACCGTGCCACAATACAGTTAGTCGGAACCGAGCGGTGGTGTGTCGATGGTGGGCCGCGAGACATAACATTGGCGACGAGCGGAGTGAGGACGGAGCCATGCCGTTGGGGAAGATTGAAGAATTTCACCAAGGACAAGATAACTGGGAAGAGTATGCGGAAAGGTTGGATCAATTCTTCGTGGCTAATGACATCCAGGACGATGCTAAGAAGAGGGCCATTCTTCTCAGCAGTATGGGAGCTCGGACATACGGTACGGTAAGATCGCTGTTGTCACCGAAAAAACCAAATGAGGTGACGTATGCCATGATTGTTGAAACATTGAGCAAGCAATTTTGTCCGCCCACATCGGTAACTGTCGCAAGATATCGGTTCTTTTCCTGTTGTCGAGTACAGTCAGAGTCTGTTCAGGAGTTTGTGGCGCGCCTGCGGCAGCTGTCGCGGGACTGCAAATTCGAATCGTTTCTTGATCAAATGATCAGAGACCGGCTGGTGTGTGGAGTTAACTCTGACCCCATTCAGCGCAGGTTGCTGGCAGAAGCTGAGCTGACTTTGCCGCAGGCAATCAAGATTGCTGTGGCAACGGAAACAGCAGGTCAAAACCTACAGGAGCTGGCGGGAGCTGGCCCGCCGGTGGTGTCCGCTACGGGGGAGACGGCAGTGAACCGTGTCCGGACGGGCCCGTCAGCCTCACAGCGGACCAGCCAGGAGCGACACAACGCCAGTAAGCAAGCGCGGCATGAAGGTGAGAGATGCTGGCGCTGTTTGAACAGAACGCACTCTGAATCCGAATGCTACTTTAAACGTAAGCGCTGCTTCCAGTGTTCCAAGTATGGGCATACATCGGCCGCTCACCGGGCAGGGACGGTGAAACATGTTGGGTCGGAGGTGGTCCGTCAGGAGGAGGGCGATGGTGCAGGATCTGGGGAAGAGCAGAGTGTGATGGAGGCAGACACTGAAGAATGAGACTTTATCGGGGAGGTTTTTCAGTGTCGGGAGCGGATTCATGTGGTGAAAAGCCGGCCTCCGATCATGCTGGACATGTCGCTGGATGGGCGTGATGTCAGGATGGAGCTTGACACGGGTGCATCTGTATCCGTCTGTTCGTTCAGCAGGCCTCCGATCATGCTGGACATGTCGCTGGATGGGCGTGATGTCAGGATGGAGCTTGACACGGGTGCATCTGTATCCGTCTGTTCGTTCAGCAGGTTTCAAGAGCTCTGGCCGGAGAAGAAACGCCGTCTGCAGCCGTGCAGCCTCATCCTACACACCTTCTCAGGCGAGCCTTTGAAGGTCCGAGGTGAGGTACAGATGGACGTGGTGTACCGCGGAGAGTCGTTTAGCCTGCCCCTGGTAGTAGTTGATGGGACAGGGCCGCTGCTCTTCGGCAGGAACTGGTTGGAGAGCATCAGACTGGACTGGAGAACCATCTGCATGGTGACGACGCAGACGCTGGGAAGCGGAGTTGAGTCTGTGCTGCATAAGTACTCTGATGTGTTTGCGGATGAGTTAGGATGTGCGAAGGGGATTGTGGTAGATATCCCGATTGACCCAGACACACGCCCCATATTCTACAAGCCCAGGCCGGTACCGCTGGCGTACCGTGCTGCTGTCGACGCCGAGCTGGACCGTCAGATCCAGGCCGGGCTGCTGGAACCGGTGAAACACTGCACGTGGGCTGCACCGATCGTCACTGCACTGAAGGCGTCAGGTGAGGTCCGTCTCTGTGGTGATTATCGGTTAACGGTCAACAAAGTAACGCCGCTAGAGAGGTACCCGATGCCCAAGACGGAGGAGCTATTCACGCTGTTTCAGGGTGCCAGAATTTTCACGAAACTAGATCTGAAAAGCGCATATAATCAGATTCAATTAGATAAAAACAGCAGGAAGTACATGGCTATCAATACGCACAAGGGAATATTGGTACCGACTAGGCTGGGTTTTGGATATGCCTCAGCCCCCGCGATTTTCCAGAGATACATGGAATCGCTGCTCGCTGGAATCCCAGGAGTTGGTGTGCTGATCGATGACGTCATTGTCTCAGCAGGATCCGAACAGGAACATCTGCAGCGGCTGGAGGAGGTTCTGAGACGTCTGTCGGAGGCAGGACTGCGACTGCAGCGGAAGAAGTGTTAGTTCGCGGCATCAGAAGTGGTGTATCTGGGACACCACATCACGGCAGATGGTATCAAACCAACAGCAGACAAGGTCAGTGCCATTGAAAAAGCCCCAGAGCCCAAAAACTTGAAAGAGCTTCAGGCATGGCTCGGCCTGGTCAACTATTACGCGAAGTTCCTGAAAAACCTCGCCACAGAACTGGCACCGCTGTATCAGCTGCTGAAAAAGGAGCAGAAGTGGGAATGGGGCCCAGCTCAGAGGAAGGCGTTTCAGAGTACGAAAGGTATGCTGAAATCAACCCTGACTTTAGCGCACTTTGATGAGACAGCTCCAGTCATTTTGGCTTGTGATGCCAGCCCGGTGGGGGTAGGATGTGTCCTAAGTATCATGGACAGGAACCATGTTGAGAGGCCAGTTGCGTTCTACTCGCGGTCTCTGTCGGAGACTGAGAGACGGTATTCCCAGACCGATCGCGAGGGCCTGGCAGTGATTGCTGGCCTGGCCAGGTTCAATTTTTACTTGGCAGGTCGTGAATTCTTGATCCGGACAGATCATAAGCCGCTGCTGGGTATGCTTGGAGGAAATAAGCCGGTATCACTGATGGCCTCTCCCCGGGTGACACGATGGGCTATGCTGCTCTCGGGGTACAAGTATAAGATGGAATATGTACCGGGTATCAAGCAGGGACACTGTGATGGATTGAGCCGACTTCCTGTGTCTGCAGGATCGCCCCAGCTGCCCGTTCCAGCTGAGACGGTGCACCTGATGCAGTTCTTCGACTCGTCACCGGTCACCGCTGAGTCCATCCGTCTGTTCACCGCCAGGGATCCTGTGCTGAGTGCCGTTCTGCGCTTCACCAGAGAGGGCTGGCCGTCGGGCGACCTCGTGATGCCAGAGCTGGTACAGTACCGAAGCAAGGAAGGTGAGCTGAGCATTCAGGATGGATGTTTGCTGTGGGGGTCACGGGTGGTGGTACCCCCCAAGATTCGGCCGAGAATTCTGTCTATGCTGCATGAGGGACATCTGGGAGAGAGTCACACGAAAAGTTTCGCTCGTATGTATGTCTGGTGGCCTGGGATAGACAGAGAAGTCTCTGAACTGGTGCGTCACTGCCCGACATGTCAGCAGTATCGCCGACAGGCACCCGTGACGCCACTCAGTCCGTGGGCTTGGCCGAAAAATCCCTGGGACCGAGTGCACATTGATCACTGCCAGTTCGATGGCCACTTGCTCTTGATTGTTGTCGATGCGTACTCAAAATGGATTGACGTGCACGTGGCCCGTTCAACGACAGCCGAGAATACCATGGAGCTGCTGCGCAAGTCATTTGCATATTTTGGAATCCCGCGGACCCTGGTCAGTGATAACGCAACATGTTTCACAGCGCCAGCGTTCGAGACGTTCTGCAAGCAGCTGGGCATGCGCCACTTGCTGACCGCACCCCTGTCGGCCAAAAGTAACGGTCTAGCGGAGCGTTGTGTGCAGACGGTGAAGCAGGGCCTGAGAAAGCAGAAACATGGCAGCATGGACACGAAAATCTGCCGGTTTCTGTTTACCTACCGTACCTCTCCTCACAGCACAACGGCGCAGACTCCAGCAGAGCTGATGATGGGCCGACGTTTGCGGACTCGTATGGATTGTTTACTGCCTGACCTACAGGACCGTGTGTCAGCCGCACAGCAGCAGATGAAGGAGAGATATGACCGTCGGTCACAAGATCGTGTTCTAACCCCTGGAATGCGTGTCTGGGTGTCACAGGTCTCCGGACTGGCCGGCGTCGGACGGGGAACACGCTGGCTCCCGGGACACTGCGTGAGCCGCTCTGGATCCAAGATCACTGTTCGTCTGGAGGACGGCCGCGTGATACAGCGCCACCTAGACTTCGTGGTGCCCAGCGGTTCTAGCCGTCAGATGGAGCTGACCGATGAGCCGACGCCGTCCATGCCGCCGGGTTGGATGCAGCCGCTTCCGCCTGGAACACCGCTTTCCGAGGAGGGAAGAGGACGACTCGCCGCACCAGCGGAGAAGGATCCCGCGGCCGGGGGGCCGCCGGGGACCAGGGCCGCGTCCGCGGCGCCGCTGCCGTCGCCGCCGCCGTCTGCGGATCCAGGGACCACTCAGCCGGGGGACGCCGAGACGCCGCCGCCGTCCCCGCCGCGGCCGCCGTCTGCGGCTCAGTGTACTGTAGGGATCATCTATGCGATTTGTCATTTCATATTGTCATTTTCATTTATATTGTCACCGCTTTATTAATCAATCTGTTACCTGTTGTCAATTGCGCGTCAAGTTTGTTTGCCATTTGTAAACCGGCCTGCCGCTGGCCTCAACCTTTCTAGTAACCGCTGTGCCATACGCTATAGAACGTGTCGTGCAAAGGTCACGGCGGCACCCCTGAGGCGGCCGCTGCCCGTACGTTTAGGAGCCCATTGTCGTGACGTCATGACTGTGAGCAAAGGTCGCGGTAGGGGCTCTCCCGGCAGCCGGACGGTGACTCATACGTTGAGCTTGTCTCTCGCCGCGCCTGCGGGCATATTGGTAGTACTAGGGACGGCCAGCATGTG